CCCCCCATTGTCTCCATTGTCACCTGCGCGCCCCGCAGGTAGTGCAGGACGCAGAGCCAGAGCTGGGCGGGGGTGTCGAGCAGCAGGAAGCGGAACCCGGCCGAGGTGATGGAGGGAGCATCGCCCCCGTCACTGCGTCACCCGCGGCGTTACCCGCATCGTCACCCACGGTGTCACCCGCATCATCACCCGCATCGCTGCCCGTGTTGTCACCCCTGTCGTCACCCGCATTGTCGCCCGCATTGTCACCCACAGCGTCACTCGCGTTGTTGCCCGTGTCACCTGCATCGTCACCCACAGCGTCACCCGCATCGTCAGCCACRGCGTCACCTGCATTGTCACCCACATGCCCCAGTGCCTGTGGGGCACCCGAGCACACCCTAAATACACCCCAAACACACCCCCAAGACTACCCCAAGTGTCCTAAATGCACCCCCAAACCAGCCCACGTACACCCTACGTACAGCCACAGCACCCAAATACACCCCAAACGCACCCAAAACACCCCAAATGCACCCAGAATGTCCAAGCACACCCCACCATGCCCCAAAGCCCCCCAAATACACCCGAAACATCCAAACGCAGCCCAAATGCACCCCAAAAACACACCCAAACAGCCCAATTCCCCAAACCCATCCCACATAGACCCCAAAGACATCCCAAATTTACCCCCAAGCACCCAACTCCACGTCAAACCCCCCAAATGCCCCTAAACTCAAGGCCCTCAAAGCACCCCCAAAACCCCCCACCCCCAATCCGGAACCCTCCAAACCTCCTGGCCCCCCTGAGCCCCCCTCCCCAACCTCTCAGCCCCCCAACCTGCGCATGAGCCCGGCCTGCACCAGCAGCTGGGCCAGGTCTTGGCTCACGGCGGCGCTCGGGGACCCCACCATGAAGTGCAGGATGACCTGGGCGGGGGGGGGAGCGTCAGCCGCACGCCAGGGACCCCCGGACACCCCCAGACACCCCCACATGACGAGGCCCCTCTGGGGCCCATCCCAGACACTAGGGTCCCCCAGACACACCTGCACACCAGGGCCCGGGACACCTGGGCCCTATCTGGATGCCGGGGCCCCAGACACCCCTGAACACTGGGGCTCCCCAGACACTCCCAGACACCGGGGTCCTTCCCAGACAGCCCTGGACCCCAGGGCACCTCCCAGACACCTGCCCCCCACCCAGACATCAGGGCCCCCACAAGTCCCTCCCGGATGCCTGGGCCCCTCAGATGCCAGGGCCCCTCCAGACACCAGCCCCCACCCCAAACATTGGGGTCCCCCGGACACCCCTGGACACCATCCCCTGCCCAGACATCAGGGCCCCCCAGCCGCCGGGGCCCTTCCTGGACACCTGAGCCCTGCCCGGACGCCGGGGCCCTCACCTCCCAGCGCTCCTCCGCGTACTTGTCGAGCGCGGGGACGTCCCTCGCGTGCCGGTCGGGGCCCAGCTGGCTCGTGTCGTCCCACCACGACTTGCCCCTGCGCCGGCCCTTTAAGAGGGGCCCCAGCGGACGGGAGGCCCCATTGTTTCCCCCCCCCATTGTCCCTTGTCCCCCATCACCTCCCGCGTCACCCCCATCCCATTGCCCTGTCCCCCTCCTGGCAGTCCC